GGTCAGGAGTGCGATGGGACAGGAGGATTAAATGGTCTATATAGTAGGGATGCACCAATACCGGTTTTTCGGTATCAAGTGCTGATATTTTGCTTTCGGTACCCACCGATACCGAGTACCGATACCAGTGCTTCCGCTGGCATGGAGCCAGCTTCCCAGGCAATCAGGAAGCCAGGCTGCATGTAAAAACATGCCGGTTCCGGGAAGCCAGCTCCATGTTGTTTGGCCAGCTCGAGTGTGAATGGCAGGGAAACTGGCTTCCCAGTCAATCAGCATGGAGACGGCTTCCCGGCCAATCAGGAATCCAGGAGGTGGGTCATTACTCGCCACCTGGATTCCTGATTAACCGGGAAGCCGGCTTCATGTTCCCCTACGGCACTGCTGGTCAGAGGAAAACTTTCCCCTACCAGAAGTTCCGGTATCGGGGAAGGTATCAGAGTATTTGGGCGAGTACGAGTACTCACCCAAATACTCGGTATCGGTGCATCCCTACTATATAGCATATATTATATAAAATATAGTACAACAATCATTTAAAAATTTACAAATTGTGTAAAAGGACTTTCAAATAAACCTGTCAGATGATTTTGAAAGTTTTATTATTAATCTTACTGCAAGCCCTAAGCCACATTTGCTCATTACTCCACTAGCGCTTAGAGTGCTCCAGCCATCTTCATAATTCAAGTGCTTTTCCAAGCTGTTGCTGTGGCCATGGAGTTTAAAGACGAGGCTTTTGGTCACATGATCTCTGTTGAAGGAAAAGGCTATAGTTCAGATTTAGCTAACCATCTTCTTCAGCAGTGATCATGTGTGGCCCGATGTTCTTGGCCTTCAGCCACCTGACCAGTAGAGGAGGGAGCCTGAAGCGTTATCATCTTCTGGAAAGGAAACCTCTAAGCCCCAGCTGGATGACCTTTAGTTTGCTACGGAACTGTGTATTCTAAAAAAAAAATGGCCTTTGCTTTAATAAAATACTTTTTTTTCACCCTATTTTTCCATCCCTTTTTGCATCTCAGTGCTACTGCTAGCTCAAGATTTATTCAGATCAATAATATAAATTAAGATTTGTCCATAGGTCTTCTTTAGGTTGACCTCTACATTGTAGAAGAATCCTTTGTCCTTTCATTATTTCCTTTACACATGCCAGACCCAGGAATGATGACAGTGATAATCCTCTCACTGCTAACCCATTGGAAATGGCTTCTCAAGAAGAGGAAGTCGTTATGTGGTATATTTAATGTATTGTTTTCTTTGCTAGGAACTTGGCATGAGTTCAGTGCAAAAATTAACTTATAATGTAGACATAAGAGGAAACTTGGCTCATACTGCAGATCTCATCTTAGCCGTTGAAGGATGTACTATATAGATAATGCTTTGCGGCATAGCACCCCATCCCATATAGCATGTGTCCATGTGACAATTGACAAATCACTCTTCAAATATCCATTTAGAGTTATTTATATTCTTTTCATTTGTGGTAGCGGTGATTGTGAAATTTGAAGGACTAACAAACTAAAAGTAGACATTACAACTCACACTTTATAGGATTCCTGATGCCATTATTGCTAATCTATATTGGGTTACCCCATGTGATGTAAAGTATAGACATCCTAGATCACATGGTGTTACGTACCTGGTGATGGCCTGAGATGACGAGGGCGGCCTCCCTTGCTTCTCTTGTCCAAACACCCCTGGTAATGGTGAATAGAGGATGTAGGGATGGAAAAGGGGCACGAGTGCTTGATGAAGTGGATACACCCGGAGCTGGAGATGTAGGTGGGCCAGTCTGAAGGAAGATGATGGCAATCAATTCCTGGAATATGACGTCAGCAATGGGTGAAGTTGGCACTGGTGCAGAGCAGAGCCGAAGTAAAGAACAAGCCAGGTCACGATCAGACGGGCAGCGAGGTACAAAATCAGCAAACAGAGGCAGGGTCAGGAGCAGTCTGGGTTGGTCACGTGCAGGCAAGGCAGTGCAGAATCAGCAAACAGAAGCAAGGTCCAGATCAAGCCAAGGTCAGGGGCAGACAGCAATCAGCAGAGTCCAAGAACAAGCCGGGTCAATATCAGGAACAAACAGAATCAGGATCAGGAACACAGGAAGCAGGGCACTAGATGAAGAACTCTTAGCAAGGAGCAAGGAAAATGTACAAAGCTCCTCCTTAAACAGGCCATCTGGCGCCAATGTTCGAATGGGTGCTCGTGCACGAGTGTGCTCACGCAGCAAAGTGTGCGCACGCTCACATGCCCGAGCAATCTTTCCACTAGAACGTGTCGTATGGGTCGCGCATGCGAATGAAAATGGGCAGCACGAATACAAACAACACTTCTTTGACACATGGTCTGGTTTTATCACAAGCAATGTGGGCATTTGCAGTCAGTTGAGATTGCAGTTTGTTTTCAATAAGACAGATTCTGTTTCTTGGGCTTGCAATGAAATAAGAAGTTTGGCAAGGTAAATTCAGAAGCCACTTGTGTGTTGATAAATAAATGTGGTTTCTTCCACATACATATAGTGCTGATGTCCTTTAGTGCCCCCAGGCACTCTTGTCAACTGTGAGCTTTGATATGCAAATAACGAACGTCTTCCTATTGCACTGGCCAGCCACTTTTGCTTCTTGTTATTGCCCCATCATTATAATGGTCTATCCAATTGTGAGGTGCAGTATAGAACTGATGCCCAAGGAAGGAGTTTGCTATCTGGAGAAGCTTGCTAGGAATACATACTGGAGTTGTTTTTGATGATGCAATCAAAGCTTACTTGAAAAGATTCCCCTTTATATAGTGAGTGCTGCCTTTCATCTGCCCATCACTTTCAACTACTTCCTGGATTCCCAGTGTGCTTTGCGTCTCTTTCCCTGCTGCTTGATATGATGCAATCTCAATTTCTCAAGACGTCACATCCCATCATGCATTGCTTCCAGCAAGCATTAGCAGTGTTACATTGTGGGCAGTTCAGGCATTGAGTTATAGTGCAGATGGCAGCACAAGGAAGTGCATATTTACAGGGCAGAATGAAATGGTGTCAGTGCAATGAGGAAGTCCATCCTATGGGCATCTTCAATAAGTACGTTTACAAACGTCTAGATGGATCTGGTTATTAGGAGTGGGATAGAACTTTAAGTATAATCAAAGTCTCCTTTTTATTTGCATATAACATATGCAAAAACATTTAAAAAAATAGAAAAGTGACCAAAAAGGTAATTACTTACCTCTGTCTCTGCCACTCACTCCCTCCTGAATATCTAAAGATTCTCGAGCGGTCATGCAGTATGGTGGGTCAGGTGCATGCGCAGTACAGATCTTTGGCAGGAGAAGAGAAGAGACACAGCGTAGGTGAATGCACACATCTGGGAGTGTGCATGTTGGACAGACACCGTGGGACAGGAAGAGACAGGAGTCTGCGGTGGATCAGAGACCGGCATCAGCACTGGAGGGATTGCTCCAAGTGGAAGGAAGATGATCAGATCAAGATTCATCATTTAAGGTAAGTCCTTAAAGCAGCATGCGGGAAGGGGGGGAGGGGGCATTTGTGACTTTTATGTCACTTTGAGGAAATTCAATATAGAAATAGAGATTTAGTTTTAGTTTCTAACCACAGATACCCTTTAAGAGATGGCAGCAGCATACAGGGCCAAGCCTACGTACTGGAAATTCCTGATACATGATAACAAGCACACAACTTCTATTTTTATTTTTATTTCCCTAGAGGTAAATGTGGTACTACAAGGGCGAAGCATGAGGAGTGTCTGTTTATTACATCTCTGTCATCTACAGCTAAGTCTACATGAATCAGTTATATGTTCTGACAACTTACACATAAAATAACGTACATTTACTGTTGCAGCATTTTAACTCCGATCTGTAGCTATCTGCTCATCCCCGGCTTCAACACTCCGATAATGAGTCACTAACCTGCAACAAGCATTTAGCAAGGGAAAGTCAAAGTACTGTCACACGGGGGCACGTCCTTCATGATAGATAGATAGATAGATAGATAGATAGATAGTGTCAGGACCAGATGCAGACACTTGAGTCACAGCATATAGGTTCAAGTTACTTCACCTTTAGCAGCCACCTTTCCATTAAGGCAACTCGGATGCCCCAGGACTATTTACTCTAATTATTGTCACCGGTACAGAGCCGTAGTACTGA